CTCAAAAAATCTAAATAAATAAATAGAAAAAATGTCATTATATAGGCTCATATTTCCTTCCACATACAATATTTGAAACAATATTTTTTCTACCATGAGTTCTTAGTGCTGTGTGAATGATAACCCAACTGTTGAACTGAGAACCCATCTCCAGCACAGTTCCTTTTTACTCAGTTTTATAACTTTGACAAAAGTAGTAGCATATAACGGACACTAGATGGAGCAACATTCTAAATAATCCTTCCTAACCAGCAACTTTCTTTATAATATTATTTAAAAATAAATCATGTCTAGAAAAGTCATCAAGTTAACTGAACACATTCTGCAGGCAAACATAAATGGCTTTGCATATTTCTGGAGTAAACAGACAAGACAAAGATATGAGCTTGGAGTATAGCTTAGAGGCAGAGCAGTTGCCTAGCACATGCAGGGTCCTGGGTTCAATCCCCAACACTGCCAAAGAAAACTCTAAAAACAGATTTAAGAAAAAAGTTTGGATTCAGAGTAGTTTTACATAATAACATAGGGTGAACTATTTCCCCAAAATTCATTTGCTGAGGTCCTAGTGCTCAGCTTCTAACTGTATTTGTAGAAAGGATCTTTAAAGATGTAATTGAATTAAATGCAGTCTTATAATGTCTTTGTTTTGTTTGTTTATTTGGTTTCCTGTTATGTAGTTCAGGCTCGCCTTGAGCTCACTCTGAAGTCCAGGTTGGCCTTGAACTCACAGTGCTGCTATTAGGATGTCTAAGGCCTGGCCTTTTCAGCATATCCTGGAATCCAAATTCTGCAAAACCCAGTCACCTTCAGAAAGGCCTTCAGCTGTTTAATGTGTTTTGGCAAAGGGAAGTCTATAGTGGGTTGAATTTTCTCTGAACTTAGTGCCCTTTTGTCCTGAGAAATAAGCAGCCCTAAATAGGTGACCGAGGACTAGCAGATTTGGGCCTTCTCCCAGGACATTTTATAACCTCAGGAGACTAGAAAGTTAAGTTCCCTCTCATACTTGTGTCTCTATATCCCCACAGAGCATCAGACCATCTACATAATGCAAGAGGGCGATGCTAGCAGCTAGCCGGGAAAAGCCGAGTTTACTACATCTGTGTGTGGATGGGCTGACATTGGGAGAGAGAAATAGCAGCAGCTAGCTAGGAGAGATTTCATCCATGAGTAGATAGGCTAACACCAGGAGAGAGATCTTAGCAGCAATCTGGGAAAGGAATTAGGCTTATGTAGATATTGAAAGGGCTAAGGAATCTGGGTGAAAAGTTTATGATTGAGCCCAAGGACAGGCTGTGCAGGTGTGTGAACAATCACTGGACTTTTTGGCACTGGGGAGATTGTCTTCTGTTTGCTGAGAAATAACCTGTCATTTGCTGAAAGCGGCCTGTTTGCTTGGCCTGTTTGCTCATGTAGATTTCACCTAAGTCAGGCATGACAAAAAGAAAATGTCTTTAAGATCTAAGACAGAAAAGCAGCTGGCTGAGGCTGGAATCTGTGTCCATAAAGTGTAGAGATGGGGCATAGCTGGATGTAGAGGCACAGAGGTGGATTACATGCATGCACCACCACACCCGGCAGCAGGGTATCTTTGTCAGAAAAGGACATTTGGACACAGACATGGAGCAAAAATGTAAAAACACAGGAAAGAGACAACCATCCACTAGTCAAAGAGAGAGGCCTCAGAGCCAAAAGAATCCAACCCTGATAACACATTGGTCTTAGACTTCCAGAACTCAAGAAAAATTAATTTCTCTCTCTTAAGTCATCCAGTTCATGGCACTTTGTTACAGAAACCCTGGTAAACTAATACATGTGGAAAGGATTTTTGTCTTTTTTGTTCACTGATGTATCCCAAACACCCTAGTATGATGTCTGGCACATAGTAGGTGTTCAATAAATATTTGCTGAGTGACTTTATAAATAAAGCAGATTAATAAGATTCTTCCCTTAGATAACTATATTAAATGCCCCCAATGTTACAGTAATGCAACATTTTCACAAGACCAGGAAATTTGAATTCCGGTGTCTTAGCAGGTATCATGGCTTAACTGGGCTGTTGCCACACGTGAAGAATTAAAATCCTCTGGTGAAACTCTTGTGATGATTCAAAATGAGATACGACAAAACCTTTACCATAATGACATAGGAGGTGAGGGCATGACAAAGCTGGCTTGATCTGTTAAGTACAAGAGCCCAGAATAGATGCACAGAACAGTTCCCAAAGCCCTGCATGTGGACTTCTAGGAAGAGCTCCAGCATGTCTTCAATAGGAGGCAAAGAGGTGGATGGTCAGGCTGAGGCATGGGATCCCAGCACCACCTCTCAGGACCCATATGTAGAAGTTTTCACAGGTTTCTTTGAGATTTGGACAGTATAGAAGACAGACACCAAGAAGAGCTTGCTATTAGGGCTTTCCTTAGGATAGCCTGCTCTGCTTCCTCAAGAGCGTACTTTTATCTTACTTTTCCCTCCTTTACTCAGCCCAAACTCACTCTGCAAAGCCAGTTTCTCTCTCACTCTTCACTTTTACTTTTTCAAATAAATTTTGTCACTGTTTTTTGCTCATCTCCTTCAATTCTTTGTTTGAGATGAGACGAATGTGGACTCTAACTCTAGAAGGAGAAGCAAGCAACCCAAAACCCCCTAACATTTAATTGGCAAGGCATTTTTAGACAGAGCTACCTGATAACAGTAATGCAACAGATGCAAGTTACTCCATATAAAGAAACAGATCAAATTTATTAATCCCATCCTGAGCAGAATGGTACAAATTTAGAGCTTGTTGTTATTACTATGCCCACAATGTATCTGATTATCTGACTTCATTAAAGGCATCAAGAAAAGCTTGGAATACCAATTTAAAGAAAAAAATAGTTAAGGACTTTCCTGTTGCTCTTATTGAAGCATTTCTTTTTGGAACAAAAAACCTAATTAAATTTCCTTCTGTTTATTTAATTGTGGATTCGTGGTGCCTCCTTTCAACCCCATCTCCACATCTTAATGTCATCACTATCATCATCAATCAATATTTAACTTGGTACCCTGAATATATGCTAGGTGAACAACAAAATAACACACAAAAGTATTATAGTATATAGAAAATATACTCTGATTTTAATGACATACAAATATCCTCTAAATAACAAGTAGAGGGAATATTCATTAAAACTAATACTTATGTTAGAGATGATAAGATTATAAGTAATTCTCTCTTTGGTTTATTCATAATTTTACCTAATGTCTCCATTTTTAAAGCATAAAGTTCTTTTAAAAATTCTAACTTTGTATTCATTATTGGGAGAAAATTTAGAATTAAAAATCTCCCCAAAGGAGGGTGGGAATCTAGCTCAGTGGTAGAATTCTTACTTGACTAGCATATATGAAGCCCTAGGTTCAATCTCCAGTACTGTAAAGAAAAAATGTATGTGTATATATATATATATATATATTGCATATTTTATATATTATATATATCCCCAAAGGAGAGAAAGATATGCTGACATTTATTTTATAAGTACATATGAGGAAGCCAAAATTCACAGACAAGTGAAAGTCAATATTTAAATCAAAATGAGAAATTCTCATCTATTCTGAAAGTAATTTGAAGACCAAGTTAAACTCGTTCTTAGTTTGGGGTCTGGAATTACCTCCAGAACTGATGCAATTTAAAACCAGTGCCTGTAATTGTTTACTAAAATCTTCATCCCTAAGGGGAAGTCTTCAGAAGCGACACTGTTGCGACTGCCTAGAGACCTGAGCTAAGGTAGCAGGGAGAACTACAGGCATTAAATTCATTTTGAAATATTATTTTCCTTCTCAGCAAAAATAAAACCTAAATACTTTTTTGCAATATGTAATTTGTGATCGAGCCCTCTTCTCCTAGAGTTTAGTTTCTCGTGCACTTGCTCTTCTTTTCCTGAGAACCACAGCATAAATAAGAAGTTCATGCCTCTGGGGCTCCTTCAGGGAAGAATGGAAAAAATGAGGCTGTGGACTTTCTCAAGAAGAAAGGATCATGAAATTACTGTACTGCCACCCTTGTCTTCTCCAGAAGGCTGATAAATATCGTGACTGCACGAGATGCACAACACCCCTAGGAATACGAACAATTCTTTGTCCGTTTGATTGGAAGTCATCTTCAGAGCTCGGAATCAGGCTTTTATCAAACTCTAGACAGAGCCTTCCTTTCAAGGGAAGATCATCCTTATCGGAGTAGTGTTCAAAAGTGTGGTTTTCTGCACTCAACCAAGAAAGCCAGAGGTTGGGAAGCCCATGGATTGGGCTTTTCCCTCGGCCTAGGTTTGGGGCCCTCCTGCCCCTCCTGTCCCTCCTGTCCCCTTGCCAAGGCTGGCTTCTTCCCATCTTCCTGACAACATCTCAAGGCCACCTCCTTACAGAGTGCCTCTTCCCTTGTCCCCTTAACAAAAGCGGATGCCCTCTGTGATTTCCTGCGCAGCGCCCCTGGCGAGGTGCAAGGCTGCGCTGGCCTGGCGTGTTTGCAGGTGTTCCCCCCTAGTGTACCAGAACGAGGGCCCGCTCCTTGCACCACAACAGTGAGCACACCTCCGCCACCGCCCAGGTGCCCCTTTGGGGCTTTTTGTCCGAGTACAGAAAGTGCACCTCCTTCGAATTTTTTCACTCTGGCGCCGTCGGTTCTCTCCTCAGCCTGGCCAAGTCCGCGACCCTCAGGCTTCTGACCTCAACTCGGACCCCACACAGTCACCAGAGGGGCACCACTCCCCTCAACTCCTCCGCCTGCAGGAGGCACCTTACTCTGATTGCCTTTCTCTCACTTGCACCTTTTTTTTCAGACTGTCCTGCCAGCTGCCACCCTAACACCCTCAGCCTGTAGCGCCTCCCGGGAGCCCAAACCCAGTTCTCCCGCTGGCGCCTCAACCACCAGCAGATCGGGAGAGGCCGGAGCTGCCCGCTGGGGGCGGGGCCTGGGCGTGTCTTCCTTGATACACGGCCCCTATTGGCCTGATGTCGAGGGCGTGCCCTGGGATGGGGCGGGGCCTCAGCCTGGTTCTCCAGCCGCCTGTCAGGCCCCCAGCATTCCCGAGGCTTCAGCTTCAGCGACTGCGGCAGAAGAGCAAGACTCCGGCTCGCTCAGCATGTCTGAGAAGCGACACACAGACGACGCCCGGCGGCTGCCCGACTCCCTCAAGGGTGAGCCTTGTGCCCCTGGTGAGGCCCCAGCGTGGCCCGCTGCCCCTAAACCCTCCTCTGGGGACCGCGGTACGACAACCGGGGGTCTCTGCTGCTTTGGGCTCCCCGAGCGCTTCCCAGAGCCGTCGTCTTTTCCCTCAAACCTCGTTTCGAAGGCTGGGAGTCACGACATCGGGGCGGTGGGGTACAGAGGGCACTGCCTGGCAGGGCACACGGTGGACGCGCCCATGGCAGGATCCCTGCCCAGCACTCAGAGCCCTGCTGGGGCTCGCGTTATCCCGCGTCGCCAGATGCCTGGCCTGGTGCCAGAGCTTCCTTATCTCAAGCCATCCTCTAGGGCGAGGAAAGGAAGAAGTAACTGGCAGCCAGCGAGTGGTGCAGGCGGAGTCCCGCGTCTTCTCCCCTCGCCCACTCCCCCTTCTTCCCTGCTCACCCAGCCTCCAGGTCACCTCCTCCACCACCCTCAGGCACCCCCAAAGTAAAGGCCCCTCCTTGGACCTGGAAAGAATCTCTGCCTCCCCTACCATAATCCCCAGCTTGGGAACCTGATACAAGGCCCCAGGAAGGCATTCTTCCCCTCTTTCTGCCCCATACTTCCTCCTCTTCCGCTTTGTCTTAGGAAACCCTTATTCAGGTCTTTTGTCCCTTAGGAGGACAATCTCTTAGGATAGTTAGCCTACCATCACCACCCCACTAGGGCCTCCCCAGTCTTGAGCCATCATGTTCCCCTGTGAAGAAAGCTAGTGTCCTTGAGCGAATACCACCTTGAGGTTATATTGGCCAACTCCTTGGGGTGGGGGAAGAGAGGTGATCAGCCTCTCAGGAGTATTGCTATCCTCTCTGGAGCTCTTAGTGATCCAAAGGAATTATTTCTAAAGATGGAATTTCAGACAGAATGACGCAGTAAAAGAAATTTAGGGTGCTGGTGGGCTTTCCCAGAAGCCTCAAAGAGCACTTAGCTGGAGTCTTGGGGATGTAATTTAGTGGTGGTTAAGTGCTTGCTTGCCTAGCATGTGTGTGGCCCTGGGTGGGATCAATACCCAACAATGAAATACGTGTGTGTGTGTGTGTGTGTGTGTGTGTGTGTGTGTATCCTTCCCCAAATTAGGAGTACAATAGCAAGAAGTTGATAAAGTTGACGGGAGTAATAACAACAACAATGACAAAACATGAACACTAAATAGGGCAGGCTTGGTACCAAATATTTTATAGACATTTTATTATCTTCACAACAGATGTGATAGGTACTGTTCACATGCTCACTTTACACTTGAAGACACTGATACTCAATGAGATTAAATTGCTTAAAGGCACATAGAGTAGTGGACCCATATTTCAAATCTGAATTTGATAACAAAACTTGAACAGGAAAAAAAATGTGATCACTACTTCTTTGATAGTTGTCTTTTCCTAGATCTTAAAAAAAAAAAAAAAAAAAGGTGAAGATTCTTTCCTCTGTACCCTGACCTCTTACTGGGAAACTGCTCTGTGAAATCAGTCTGGAGTTCTTTGGAAATAAATATGATCTTTGTTCTTAAATATTTGTTATTGTCACAGACTAATTTTTAACATAAATTCTACACTTAATCTGTTTTTTTAAAGGTAGAAATCTTTTAAGAAACTAGTGAAAATGAATGCACCCTCTCCTCTAAAAGTATATGCTTGGTCTATGTTACTCTGTGTGTGTGTGTGTGTGTGTGTGTGTGTGTGTTATGGTAAACCTTAAAGGAAATAAGAAAGCCTTTACTAGAATATATCAAATAGACTTTCTGGAATGCTTGTTATATGCCCAACACAACCTAAGTGCTTTACAAGCATTATCTCTTGAATGCTGTCATATGTCAGACACAGTGTTAGGTGCTTTACATTTATCTAATTGGCATTAAGTGCTTTACATTTATCTAATTGCAAGATTGCAACAAGTCCACAAGAAAAATGTCATTATTTCCATTTTACAATAAGGAAACTGAAGGTCAGAGTGATAAAAATCAGACACAGCTTATAAGATTCAGAGCCAGGTTTCAAACCCAGGCTCTCTGATTTTCCAAACCATTTTCTCTGTCTTAGAGAAACTTCCAACTTCAGTACTTTGCTGAAGGCAAGTAAGCAAAGAAAGGCCAGCAGAACCCTGTATCGGTCAAGACCTCTTGTATACAGCAGCACTACTTCTGAGGGGACAGTGGAATTACAAAAGGCCACACTCTTTATATCTTTATTAAGAATTAGTCCTAGACAGGTAAACATAATCAAACCTAGGACATGACTAGTTTTTCCTAAAGCCGGTGCATTCTCTTTGTAATGAAATAATGCAGGTAGATTGCAAAGAAATGTATCATTATAATTAAGAGTCATGTCAACAGGATAAATCCCTTTGGGAGAATCTCAGAAAATAAGCAGGATCATGGGACTGATTTGTTTATTTCAGCTGTTACAGGCTGATCAAATTGGGGAGAGCTTTGTAACTTCTTCAATAATTAATCTGAGTCCAACCATTGTTGGTCATATATTAACTGAAACTAGAGACCAAGACTACAAAAGCTGTCATTTGTGTATTTTTTTATGATTAAGTAGATTTTTGGTGCGAGCTGATAAATTTTATACCATAAAAGATAGTCACTTTTGAAGAAAAAAATTTAAAGATGTTGATAAAGTGATGTAGATAGGATTCAAAAATCTGTTTTTAAAGAAGGCATGGAGCTGGATGCTGTGGCACACACCTGTGATCCTAGCTACTCAGGAAGCTGAGGCAGAAGGATCACAGGTTCAAGGCTAGCCCGGGCAACTTAGTGAAACCCTGTTTTAAAATGAAATATTTTTTAAAGCGCTGGGGGTAGTCCAGTGGTAGAGCACTGTGTGAGATCCTGAGTTCAATCCCCTAGTACTGCAAAAAAGTAGGAAGAGCAAGAAGGAAGGGGAGAGGGGGAGAAGAGGAGGAGCAGGAAGGAAAAAGCAATTTTCTGAAAACTAAAAGTGAACACCGCTTGCATGTTGGCCTAGCATCCTGTGCATACCTCTGTCATAATGTTTATTAACAGTATTATAATTATCAGTTTGATTTATCCATTATCCTTTTGGATGAGGAAAGCTTTTGAAAACAAAGATAACGTCCCTCCTCATTGTACTAGCTCAATACCAAGTACATAGTAGGTGTGCAAAATGTTTGTTGAAAGAAAAAGAAAGTGGAAAGGGAATAAATCATATTGTAAAATGGTTGTTAAATGTCTGTTGGAACCTTATTCATTGTTTTCATAACTGCAACTGTTGATTTTAAAATGTGACAATCACATTCCTTATTACATACTGTCACCATAGATAGACTGTTTATCTGGGTTTACATTATCAACAAAGGGATTATAATTGCCAAGATAATATATTGTACCTAATGAAAAATTTCACTTATGAAAAAGAGAGAAGTAGAAAGTAGGAATTGTAGGGGGCTGGGGATTTAGCTCAGTGGTTCTGGCGCCTGCTTTGCAAGCGCAAGGTCCCCAGTTCAATCCCCAGTACCAAAAGAAAAAAAGAAAGTAGGAATTGTGTCTTCATTTTGGGGGGGGAGGTACTGGGGATCGAACTCAGATCCTTCGCTTGCACAGCAGGCGGTGAAACCACTGAGCTAAATCCCCGGCCCTGTGTCTTCATTTTCTATTGACACATGCGTTCCTCCATTTTTTTTTTTTTTTTTTCTGTATCTTTGCACTCTGGAACTGGTAAAGAAACTTGAACACCAGGCTTTTGCCTTGATGCTTCATTTGATTAGCCCTGAAAAATAAGACCGAGAAAATATCCTCCTTAAAGGGCTTAACGATAAAGATGATGCCACACTTGTCCACTGGAGTGACCACCTGTGGGAAGAGAGTGGGCTGTAGTGAAATGAGGTAGAATTCAGAATGACAGGCTCTGGCTTGAGATCTCAGGATGATCACTTCATACCTGGGTCACCTTGGACAAGTCTCCATGTCTACAGGGTCACTCCCCAACTCTACGCCGGTGTAATCTCCTGCCCCATTGCTCTCCCAGGATTTTAAGTATTAAATGTGAAAATTATCTGAACTTCCCTCTGAAACTTTAAAATGAAAATTATTAAGACATTGAATGGAGAAAACAAAGAAGAAGAAGTTTAACAATGTCTAGGGCTTTCAAACCAGAAAGCTATTTTTGGAGTACTACTCAGAAAGCCTAGTCGTATTCCAGGAAATTGAAATTTACTGGTGAATATAAAAGATTTATATGACAGATGATCTAACAACATTTAACTCTAGCTCCCCCCCCTCCCACCACCCAATAAACCAAATGCGGTCTGTTTCTCCTCCAGAGACAGAGTCCCTAGACAGATCGTTAGTCTCGGTATTTTCTCCATGGTGCATAGGTCCCAGAAGGCAGTTCACATACTAAAAAGTTTATTCCTATGAACCACATCAATAACGATCTTACAGTTCTCATAATAATAATAGCTACCACTTATTGAGCATAAAAACACTAAAATGTAGGGTTTTTTTCTATTTTCGTGTTTTTCTGACCTAGTCCAACTTAAATGAACTTTATATCCGTGATGAAATTGATTTTCTCCCCAATTTTCCAAATGGAAGTGTTTTTATATTTCTAGACATGGACCATGTTCAGCCCAGGCTCCTCCCTTCCTGAATTCTCCAGCCTCGCAGTTAGGAAAGGGTTGATTTTTAAAAAAGAAAAGTAAACACTTGAGTTGTCAATTACTTTGGGACAGAGGATGATTCTGAAGGGTGCTCCTGGACCGTCTATGTTGACATATGAAGAAGTTTCAGTTTGTCTTGTGTAATAGATGGTCTTTTCTCTGCCCCAAGGAAATTGCAGACTCACTCCACTCATTTAACTATTTAACAATTGTATACTGAGTTCCTGGGAATCTTCTGTATTAGTTCAACTGTGTGTCACACTTATCCACACTAGACCTCGGAGGTCTCCTGTTGGCCCTGTTTTGAAAACAAGTAAACTGAGGCATGGGGTGCTAAGGTGCTTTCCTA